TGATCAAGGGGTATGGGGAAGTGGATCAAAAAGTGTACAAGACAAGGATCAATCATGATCATTTGAAAGTAAAGCATATTCGACAGGCCATTTGGCCCATGCCTACTCCTATTGTATTCTTGTATTCTTGGAGAAAGACAGAGAACAAAAACCTATAGACCAGTCAGCCTAACAGCAAACTATTGGAAACAGATTCTGATCATTGTTTTAAAAGGCTCAAATTTATCAAGGACATTTAGGATGAATTTGTTAAGGGAAGGTTATATGTGACAAACCTGATTGAATATGTTGAGGAGTAAGAAGGACATTTGATGAGGGTAACACTTTTGATTTAGTCTATATATTAACAAGACTTTTGGTAAGGTTCCACGTGGCAGACTCATCAGAAAGCCAATAAACCATGGCACGTCAGGTAAATTGGCAAGTTGGGTGAAATGTTGGCTCATTACAGGTGGCAAAACAAAATGATGATCAGGTAATTTTTGTTTTTCTTTTGTTGTTTGGTTTAATGCCCGCACCCAAATGTTTGGCTTCAATGTCAAAGAAAAGACAAGATCACGAACTGACTTCAGGCTTTGGTTTTTTTATAGTGTGCTTACTAAATATTATTCAGAGACATTCCAGGCTCTTAGTTTATTGTTACATTATTGAAAGACTGTTTCACAAACTCTACTACCCAGTTCTGGCCACTCCACTTCACACGCTTCTTTGCACATGTCTCCAACTTTTTCATTTTCTCAACTCCACCCACACTGTGCTATTTATATCTAGTGAGGTATGTTTCCATGACATCATTGCACGGTTGCTCCAGAGCCTTTACACAATGGCTTTGTGGCTGGAAGGTTGCTCCAGCAGGGTTCCAGAGGTTCAGTGCAATGTTCAGGACTGAGTCCCTTGGTTTTATGGTACCTATCAATGATTTATACAAAAACACAGGAGGCATGATTAAGAAGCTTGCAAATGATACAAGGATTGCCAGGGAGCTTGCTGTGTATAAATTGGCTGCTGTGAATTTTTTTCATTATTCATTCATGGGGTCAGGGCATTGCTGGCTAAGCCAGCATTTATTGGCCAATCCAATTTCTCAGAGGGCAGTTAAGAGTCAAACACATTGTCATAGATCTGGAGTCACATACAAGTAAGGATGGCTGTTTTCTTCAATAAAGGACATTAGTAAACCAGGTGAGTTTTTCCCAACAATTGATTCATAGTCACCTCTATGGTTGGATTTGAACCCAGGTCCCCAAGACAATACCTCAGTCTTTAGATTAATAGCTCAGTGATAATACCACTAAGCCATCATGTTACCTAACTTCAGTATTGCAGCAGTGGCTATAATTCAAAAGTACCTCACTGGCAATAAAGCATTTTGGAGATTCCTAAGGTCATCCTAAGGCAAACCCTTTTATTCTTTTGTTTTACAGTCAACTGTCTCATGCCCAATTCCTCTATTTTCGAACCTTGTGAAACTTTGTACTAGTAAGTCTAACCTTTAGGGAATCTCAGCGAAATTATGGGACTTTTGCATTCAAAAAGGAATGGTTTACACATGCATGTTATTTTAAGAAGCTATATTTGCTCTAAATATATTTGCGTTAAGACCGGCTTTTTTTGAGCTTTGAGTTTAAAATACATTATTTGCTATTATTACTTCTCATTAGCATCGTCATTTATCATTACTTGCTAATAACCTCTTTTGGGATCTAGAATGGAAGGAGCAAGAATTTCCATTAGGATATATCAGTTTTTCAGAGCAATTCATCTGAAAACAGCCAAACACACTGAAGACTGAAGAATTCAGAGTGTCCAATGCACAATTGAGCTTCTGTGAATTTTTGCACTGGTTTAGAAATTGTGAGGTTGAAAATTACCCCTGTCTACAAACCTCATGCCATGCTCAAGAGTGAAAGAATCACTGTGGCCAGTTTGCAAAAACTGCATAAGCCTTTGAGGCTCATGCTTAAAATTAAGGTTTAAGGTATAAGGACATGTAATCAGCACATTTTGTCAACTTTGGAATGTATAAGTTCTAATTTAGGAAGAAACTGAGTGCTGAACATTAGCAACATGAGTAAATGGTTCTGTGTATTTTGACAAGCCACTTTCATTTACTTGAAGTCAGGTTACTTACTGACGTTGGGTGGCACAGTGGCCCAGTGGTTAGCACTATTGCCATACACTGCTAGGGACTTTGGTTTGATTCCAGCCTCGCGTAGCTGTCTGTGTGGAGTTTGCATGTTCTTATGTTTACACGTATTTTCTTCAGGTGATCTGGTTTCCGCCCACAGTCCGAAGATGTGGCTTTGGTAGATTGGCCATGCTAAATTGCCCATTGTGTGCAGGCTAGGAGGATTAGCCATGGGAAAGACAGGGATGGGGTGGATTTGGGTGGGATGCTCATCAGAAGGCTGATGTGGATTCAATGGGCTAAATAGCCTGCTTCTACACTGTCTAACCGAAAGTTGATATTTACATGATATGCCTGTTCCAGCTGTGTGTAACAAAACTGCATCACGTTCCCACTCATAAATATGTCGAGAAATATTTTTCAATCAGTTTCATTTAAATTGCATTCCAAAGCAGGCTCTGACTGGGCTGCTTCACGGAAATTAAGAGAAGGAACAGGCCATTTGGCCCTTCAAGCCTGCTCTGCCATTCAATACGATCATGGTTGATCCTCTATCCCAATCCCATATTCCATCTTTCTCCCAATACCACTTGATGCCTTTAGATTCTAGAAATGTATCTTTCTCTTTCTTGAATACATTCATTGACTTTGTCTCCACAGTCATTTGTGGTATAGAATTCCATAGGTTCACAATTGACTGAGTGAAGAAACACTTCCTCATCTCTGTCCTAAATGGTCTACCCTGCATTTGATTTGATTTATTATTGTCACATGTAACTAGGTGCAGAGAAAAGTTTTGTTTTGCATGCAGTACAGGCAGATCATATCATACAAAGTGTATAAGTGCAACGGAACAGAGCAAGGAATACAATATTATGGCTGCAGAGGAGGTACACAAAGGGCAAAATCAACATTAAGTTTAAAACTTGAGAGGTCCATTTAGAAGTCTGATAACAGCAGGGAAGAAGTTGTTCTTGAATCTGTTGGTGTGTGTGTTTAAGCATTTTTATCTTCTGCTCGACGGAAGAGGTTGGAAGAGATTATAACCGGGGTAGGAGGGGTCTTTGATCATGTTGATTGCCTTCCTGAGGCAGCGAGAAATATAGATGGAGTCAATGGATCCACAGCCATTAAGACTGTGACCCCAGGTTCTAGATTCCCCAGTCAGGGAAAACATCCTCGCATGCATCTATTTGGCAAAATGCACAACTTTCAAGAGGCAATTAAAGACCAACAAAACATTTCTTATGATAAGCACGATTTTGGGTGCAATTTGGACCTGGATCACTGATTATGCTCAAACTGGAAACTCGCAGCTTAGATGAGTAGTGATCTAGTGATCCAGTAGTGATCCTCTGACAAGGATAGAGTATTTGTGAGTCAATGCAGTGTGGAGCTGGAGGAACACATCAAGTCAGGCAGCATCAGAGCAGCAGGAAAGTCGACGTTTTGGGTCAGGACCCTCATCTGGAACTGGGGAGAGGGAAGTGAGCTATCTCTGGAGTATTTGTGAAACTACTACCTGTTAATTCTGAAGAAAATGTCACATTTCATATGCATTGGCTGAGTCGATTGTTGTTCAATAAATCTAAATGACTTCAAACATTATTGCTGGAAAGGAAACAAATGGGTAATTGATTCTTAAGGGAATTATCCAGTACTGTACTTGTAACTAAGATGAATGGAAAAGGTGATTCCAGAATATTCTTATAAACCATGACTGTGAAGGACAAAAAGCTACAAACTGAAAAAAGCAAGACAGGATATTGTGTCAGAAACAATTATTGAGACGACTAATTAATATCTGGAATTCCTCTAGGTAGCGGACCAGGGCTAAAGCTGCAACAGGAGATTACAGTGATCAGTCTCTATTTGGTAGGTATGGGATTCAGCTACCAGAGGCAGTAATGTACTTATATGAAAATGACAGTAAAGTACTGAAGATGCAGTTTGTGAAGCTAAAACAGAAAATGCTGATGTACTCAGCAGGTAAGGCAGTATTGAGACAGACAGAAACAGAGTTCACAAATTCAGCTGCTTCATCAATGTCCCTCCATCATAAGGTCAGAAGTGGAGATGTTCACCAATGATTGCACAATGTTCAGCACCATTCATGACTTCTCAGATACTGAAGCAGTCTGTGGTCAAATGCAAAAAGATCTGGACAATATCCAGGCTTGGGCTGACAAGTGGCAAGTAACAATCATATTTCACAAATGGCAGGCAATGACCATCTCCAATAAGAGATAAGCTAACCACTGCCCCTTGCTATTCAGTGACAGTACTACTATTAAATACCCCACTATCAACATCTTGGGGATTACCATTAACCAGAAACTCTGCAGTAATTTTAAGGAGGTCAGCCAGCTGTACCTCATAGAATGTGAGTTCCCTGATTGGGGCTGTTAATCTGTCTAATCAGGGAGACTTGGCTGACATAAAAGGGTGAATGTCAGGGATATTGGCACCCTGAATGCCTGACTCAGTGAGAGGCTATTGTGTTATTGCCAAAGTGTAGTGCTGTTGTTAAAGGCTATGCATTTGTGAATAAACATTGATTGGTGATGGGATGCCAGCCTCTGAAAAGTAATTGCAGACTCAACATATACATACAATAGCTACAAGAGCAGTGCATTTAGTGGGTGTCAGTGGTAGAGGGCATGGATGCTCGTGAAAGTGGTGCCAATCAAATGGGCTGCTTTGTCCTGGATGGTGACAAGTTTCTTGAGTACTGTTGGAGCTCACTCATCCAAGCAAGTGGGGAGAATTCCATCACACTCTTGGCTTGTGCCTTGCTGACGCTGGACAGGCTTTGGAGAAGCAGGAGGTGAGTTACTCACCACAGTATTCCTAGAGTCTGACCTGCTCTTACGTAATGTGTTTCTGACACAATGACCAGTCTTGCTTTTTCTCACGTAAGATCCTTAGACAACACCTTCCAAACCCACTCCCATTTACATCTAGAAATACAAGGGCAGCAGGTATATGGAAACACCACCTCCAAGTTCCCCTCTAAGACACTCACCATCCTGATTTGGAACTATATCACCATTACTTCAGTGTCACAGGGTGGCTGAAGTAGAGGTTTGCTCCTGAGTTAGTGAAGATATAACCTTATTCAGACTTGCAATGTTCTTAGGGGAATTAATAGTGTGCATGTGGAGACATTGTTTCCCCATGTGGGAGAGTCTCGAACCAGAGGGTACAATCTCAGAATAAGTGGTCACACATTTAATACAGAGGTGAGAAGGAATTTCTTCTCTCAGAAGGTATTGAATATGTGGAATTCTCTACCACAGAGGGCTGTCAACGCTGGGTTATTAAGTATGTTCAAGGCTGAGATGGACAAGTTTTCATTCAGTAAGGAAATCAAGGCGCTATGGGGAAAACGCAGGACATGGAGTTGAGGATAATTAAATCAGCCATGATCTCATTAAATGGCAGAGTAGGCTGAATCGTCTATTTCTGCTTCTATATCTTATGGTCTTATAGTTAAAAGTAGCTGAAGAGATTACTGGCAGGAATATAATGCCAGCTCCTAGATTCAATCCAATTGTCCTGGCCAAGCAATGTCATGATTTTCGAATTCCCACCCTTGCTATCAAATCCCTCCATGGCCTTGCCACTGCCTTTCTCTGTAATCGCTTCCCACCCTCACAACCATTGGAGTCCTCCAATTCTGGCCTTTTGTGCATTCCCAATTATAATCACCACACCACAAGTTGCCATTGCCTTGGTCCCACATTCTGGAATTCCCTCTTTTCACCACTCAGCCCCTCGGACACACCTTCCGCCTTTAAGATGTTCCTTAAAATTGCCTCCTTGACCAAAGCTTTGATCATCTGACCAATATCTCCTTATGTTACTGGGGTAGTGTCAAACCTTGTTTTATGATGATTTTGTGAAGCATCTCGGGATGTTTCAACTGGTTAAAGGTGCTATATAAACATTTGGTGCTGTTGTTGCAAACACAATGGCAGAGGTCTAGCAATCTTGCACAAACATTAAAGCATTTTCACTGCACATTAATAGAGGGGAAACCCTTGCAGTTGACAAATACCCCTGGATGTTATGGGGGCACTTGATTCTCATACACCTGGCATCAATAAGACCCGGCATTTCGGGAAGCCAGCAACAGCGACAAAGCCAAGTGACCATTCTGCCTGACTGGCATGATTGGTGGCAAAGTTGATCTATTTATCTGTATTATGCATTAAGGGGGGCTGAGTGATAATCCCATATCTCCAGTAGAACCCTGGAAAGATCAAAATGGGAAAATAACAATTCAGGATGATGGGAATTTTTAATATTAGTGACAAAATCGGGTAATCAGGTCTATCAGGATTTTCTCCAAGATTCCAGAACAAGAAACACTGAAATACACTGTTGACTTGCTCTCCAAGCTGGCTTGTTTTCATTCAGATGCTTCATCACCATGCTAGGTAACATCATCAGTGAGGCCTCCGATGAAGCGATGTTGTTCTACTCCACTTAGTGGAGATCACATTTATATGTGGTGGTGTTTTGTGTCATTTCTGGTTCTTTTTTGCAAAGGGCTGTATTTGTGGTTGAATTTCACATGTTTATTGATTACATTATGGATGGAGAATCAGGCCTCAAGGAATTCCTGTGCGTGTCAATGGTTGGCTTGAGCTAGGATGGTCACGTCGTCCCAGTTAAATTGATGGCCTTCATTGTCCGGGTGTACTGAAATAAGGGAAAGTTTGTCATGTTGTTTTGCTGCTACCTTGTGTTCATGTATCCTGATGGCTAGTTTCCTTGCTGTCTGGCCGAAGTAATGCTTTTGGCAGTCCTTTCATGGTATTTTGTACATTACGTTGGTCCTGCATGTCGTGGGTATGGGGCCTTTGGTCCTTGTGAGTGTTTGTTATAGCGTGGCTGTGGGTATGTGTGCTATCCTGATTCCTAGTGGTTGTTGGAGTCTTGTTGTCAGTTCCAATATGTTCTTGACATACAGTATTGCGGCAGGGTATTTGGGAGTATTGTGTCCTCTTGGTGTTGTCCATCTAGTAGGCATCTGTGGATGAAGTTGGTAGGGTATCCATTGATAGCAAAGACCTTGTATAGATGTTCTTTCCCCTTCTCGCAAAGTTCAGCTGTGTTGCAGACCATTTGAATAGTGTCCTGACACAGCTTTGTTTGTGGATATTGAGGTGATTGCTGTGGAAATTGAGGATTTGATCAGTGTGGGTTACCTTCCTGTATACTGTGGTTTGGAATTCCCTGTTCATCATTTGTTCTACCCTGTTGTCTAGGAACAGAAGTTGATTTCCTCTTCTCTTGTGCATTTGATCCCAGTGAATACGTTGTTAATGAGGGTGGAGTGTCTCTTCTAACTTAGTGCGTTTAATGACAACAAATGTGTCGTCCACGAATACCATCCACATTTAACTGGGACGACGTGACTATCCTAACTCAAGCCAACCACAGACACGCATGGGAATTCCTAGATGCCTGGTTCTCCAACCATAATGTAATCAATAAACATGTGAAATTAGATCCCAAATACAAACACTTACAAAAAAGTGAAATGACACAAAACACCTCAACAGACCAGATCATATAAATACCAAGCGGAGTTGAACAACATCGCTTCATTGGAGGCCACATTGATGACGTTACTTAGCATGGTGACGAAACGTCTGAACTACAACCAGCCCACCCACAACCCGAGCTACAAATCTTCACAAGGACCCTGAAACGCTGTAGATGAGGCAGAGTCTGTGAAGAGCGAAACACAGTGAGCATTTCAGCTCCATGACGATTCCTCAGACTACGGTTTTAAGCAAATAACCGGGGGAAGGAACGAAAGGGAAAGTCTGTGACAAGGTAGAATTCACGAGAATTAACAACAGAAGAGTTGGTGGTGTAAGGCTCAAGAAAGTGGTAATGGGACATGTTAAGAAGCAAAGGATACGGCCCAGAGGAGGTGTGAATGCTGCAATAGTAAACAGCTTAAAGCAAAAAATGAAACAAAAGTAAGACAGCAAAAAAAAGGCCTACAAATATAAAGAAATGTCAAAGTAAAGGCAGAGGTTACAGCTTGGAGCTGCTGAAGTCAATGGTGATAACCAAAGGCTGTAAATTACTGTGTTGAAAGATAGGGTGTTGTTTTCTGAGCTGGCATTGAGCTTCACTGTAATGCAAGTCAAGAGTAGAGATGTCAGTACGAGCAAGGTGGGGAATTAAAATGGTGGGATGCTAGGGCCAAGCTTGAGGACTGAAGGGAGGTGATTTTTAGAGCGCCTGGCTGGGTGCGGTGTCCTTTCAGCCTGGCACAGCACCCTCTAAGCCCGGCATGACAGTCTTCTGGCCTGCCATGGTGGATCCCGGCCCAGCGGGCTGGTCTTTCGGCGACCCATGGCAGCCTTTTGGCCTGACATGGCCCCAGCATGGAATTCCGTCCTGAACCATCCTCCCAGCCTTGAGGTGAAGCCTGGCACGACCTGGAGTCATGGCCCAGTGTGGACTGGAGGCTAGGTGCCAACGTGGACTGGGTTGGAAGGGCTAGTATTCTGAAATTCTTATTTCTCTCTTTTCTCATTTATTCTTACTATCTGTAATGCTGGACATTGTATTTCTTTATCTTTCTAATTATTTTTCCTCAGAATTTGAAATGTAACACCCGTACCTAGGTACCTTGTACCTAAGATGGCACCGTGAGCAGCGAGTTGTAAACTCTTCAGTGCACTCATTTGAGTACATGTGACAATAAAGCCAATTCAATACAATTCCAATCTGTGGTTGGTCTCCTCAGTATACAGCAGGCAATTTGAAATTCAAAGAAGTAGATGGAGACATTGCTTCACGTGGGACAATGTTTGGGACCTTGGACGCTATGTGTTGCACCTCCTGCATGGAAAGATGCCATGGGAAAGGGAGGAATTGTTGGGGATGATTGAAGAATGGACGCGGATGTCAAATAGGCAAACAAAGAGGAAGGTTTTGGAGCTGAATCATTGAAATTGGGACAAACACAAATGAGGGCCCTGTCAACAATGCTGGGGAGAAATCCTTGTTTGAAAAGAAAGGTAACAAACATATAAACATCAGTATGGAAGGCTTTATCACAAAATAAAAGCAAAGGAAGTGGAGAAACTTGGAAATGAATAGAGCCCTTACAGTAAAAGAGATGTGAGGGAGAGTGGACTTGTCCAGGCTGGGTTTGAATGCTGCCATGGCAGATGCTATAATCTGAATTCAATAAAAATTTACAATTAAGAGTCTAATGATGACCATGAAGCCATTGACAATTGTCAGAAAAACCCATCTAGTTCACTAATGTTCTTTAAGGAAGGAAACTGTCATCCTGACCTGGTCTGACCTGTATGTGACTCAGACCCAGAGCAATGTGATTGATTCTTAACTGTCGTCTGGACAATTAGGGATGGGAATTAAATGCTGGCCTAGTCAGGGGTACCCATTTCTTGTAAATGATTGATTTTTTTTTAAAAGACAGCTATCATCGTCTGACATGACATTTTAAGCCTCCAAAGGCACTGTTATTCAGAAATGTCAATTAAATTCAGCTTCAGCCTGAAGATCCTGTCTCATTGATATTGCCTGTTTTAAGCTGTACCTCTCTGCTGGGCTGCTGCCTGATGCTGGCCTATGTCCTACGGTCTGTGAGCCAGAAGGCCATGTTTTCATTGGTCCAATCTACAACAGCATTAGCAGCCACTCAGCCACTGAGCCTTCAAACAGTACCAAGTAACCTCTCAACAGAAATACCGTGAACAGCCCCTATCCCATGAGCGGGTAAGAAAGCAGTAATGGGTATGAGTGCTTATTGACATCTTTGGCTGAAACTGCCTCAATTGTTGCTCTGTATTGACCTCCATTTCATTCGTAAGTTTCAGGAAGCCTGGGAAACCAGCAGGCTC